AATCCTGTGTAATTCTTGATTTGTCTTTCTAACAATTTTTTTCTCCAAAGGTGAAAACTAGAAGGTGATCAGAATGCCCTGTTAGCCAGAGTTCTGTCTTGATATCTTACCAAACAATGCAAAAATTCTGTTTGGTTGATCACAACCTATGCATTAAGTACATGGCTAACAAGAGTAAGAAAATAGATGGGGGTCTCCCATGCTGTCCCTGTATCTATGGCATTTTGTTGAGAAATTCAGAGAGCATCCTGAACGCAAGTTAGTCCTGTAAAGTCACAAGAATTTGAAACATTGACCTTAAAAACTCATGAAGGTAAGATCAAAAAAACAGACCAAACTAACAAGAAATTTTACTGAGATAACTGTGTGATTTTTACTGTGGCAAATAAACCAAACAAGGAATCGGGGAATGAAAGGTAAGGGTGGCACTTGAATGGAGGGTGGAACCGTTTTACTATGAGTTCATTCTGTGCTGTTTGCCTTGAACTAGCAAGACTTAACACACTCAGAGTGCATCAGTATAAGCTGTAAGTCACAAACACGCATAATTCAGCAGGGTGTGCCACAGCCTAGTTACATCAGGAGTGTGTGTACAGTATGCTTTGTGCCCTGGAGGGTTTCAAATGGACAGACTAGCCCAGAGTTTGCAAGCACCATGTTAGAATTGAGGGGAAAACACTGTCTAGAGCCAGTGACTACAACTGAGAATAAAAATCAATAAACAGAGTCAAATTGTTCTGACTTACATTACCACTTATATTAAAAACAGGAAAATGAACATGAAATTGCCATCGTGACTACCTGTTTCACACTGCTTATGTCAAGACACACTGACTTGTTAGGCATGGAATTGATTAATGCCTTTTGAGTATTTACTGAATGAATTCATTCTTAGACAATTGCTTTTTCATTATTGGAAGGAGACTGGGATTATTTGTTAACCATTGACATTTTTCCCTCTCCCTTATGCTTACATAGGAAAAGCTATCAGGTTTTATTTAAGCTTGAAAAATTTATCACCTCTATTTCAATTATTCATGGTCAGAAAGTAAATTAGTTCTGAATTTTTTAAACATTTTGGCAAAAAAAATGAATATGAAGATTTTCTAAATTGAAAGAATCCATTGTATGTTAAAACTTGGTTAATATTCACCAGAGCACAGGGTCAAAAGTGTCCTAGCTCTTTCAAAGTCTCTCTTTCACCTGAAAACAAAAGAGCACAATCCCACCAAGAAGGGTAGAGGCATGGAAAGTTCTTCATGACTCACGCACGCCTGGTGCGGCTTGCTGGAAACTAGCTGCAAGCTTCCTCGGCTGAGGGTGGACGTGCTCGGGGAAAGTCACATTGGTGTGCACGCAGTTCTTTCTCTCGTCTTCACTAGTTTCCACTCTTGGGACATTGGAAGTAGCCGTGACCTCTGTTCCTTCCCCTGCTGATGGCTGTCCCTCTGTCCTTCATTTTCCACTGACTGATACTTTCGGACTGCCTCTCACTTAATAAGTTCTTCAGAATTTTGTGTTAATGCCATCAGCCCAAATCTTTTTTAATTGTAAGCCACTCCCTACATGGAGGTTCCACAGTACATGATTCTCAGTGTTGGCTTTAGCCCAAAGGAGAACTTCTGAACGTTGTTGTCTCTTAACACTTCCTTAGGCGGAAATCCAGCAAATCTGGGTTACAGACTTGTAAAGACATTTACTCCTGAGAGGGAAGTGTGTGGTGGTCCATCTAAGGGGGCACTTGGGGACTATGGGGACACAATGCTCACCAAGAGTCCTTCTGCATATAGCCAGTGAACCAGACAGTTGCAACAACTTTTCTAAGTGGCAGCTTTATGACAGGGAGTCGCTAACTCCCTGGGGAAAAAGTTAGTTTGTTTTGAAGACAATTATCCTATAAACTGAGCTTCCTATTGAAACAAACATTTCCGTGAGAGCACCTACTGACTTTCTGGGCATTCTTGTTTGTGGAAAGAAATTAAAAGCATCTTTTAAATTGCATTTCTGCATGTCCATATTGAAAAATATGCATAAGAAATTAAAATTTTTTAAATCAAAATTTATTCCCGTCTTTCTTGGGCTTGGTGTCTCAGCCACAGAAGGAGCTACTTCTAACCTGAGCTCTAAATGTGGAGTAAGAAAAAAAGAAAGAAAAGAAAAAAAAAGAAAACCTTTGGAAAACCAGGCTTATCTGCTTTCTTTAATAATTTGTATGAAAGAAAGATGAAGCCCATAGGATACAAGGCCTGTGTCTGGTTTCAATTTTGTTTCTTCTATAAAAAGTCAACACTTCCTGTGAGCATTATCAGACAAAACAAATAAAGTATCTGAGACAATTATTTTATTAACTTGGAAAAAGTGCAAGCTGAAATTGGACATTTTTCCAGGTTTTGGCAAAATTAACGAATATTGGTTCTTTCCTCCCTCTGTAGTTTAGAAGCGTAATGTGACTCTTGAGGCCAATTGGAAGTCAGTATTGTTTTCTTTTAAATTCCTGTGCTCCCCCTTTTATTAAACTACTGGAAGACAAATGAAATTAATCAGCCCTGAATCTGATTCATGGCATCAAAGTTCTTTGTGCAATTCTGATTGACACAGCTGAATATATTCATTTGTGTGTGGAATGGAGTCTTTGCATCTTATCCACGACAGAAGAATCTGTTCCTTCTACTAGTGCTCCTTCACCTCTGCCTCCTTAACATCAGAACAGAACTCTGTACGTGATTTTCATATTTTATGTTTTCACAGGGTATTTAAAATAAAACACTGACCTGGGATAAGTTACTATTATCCAAACATATATAAAAATGGTTTTTGAGTTATGCACTACAATATTTTATGCATAAATTTGGCTTTTTTTTCTCTGCTTCTACCATAATCAAAAGTCATGGTACAGAGACTAGGACAAAGATGTGGCTTCATGCCTCCTTTATTCAGATAATTTTATCTGATTAATATATATATGAATATATTGATTAATCAGATAATATACCTGATTAATATATTGTTCTTATTAATATATTGTACATAGTTATTTAATGTTGTATTTATATGAATTTCCACCTTCAGTATGTGGAACTGTTTGAATATACTGATCTTTAAGCCCATGTTAGACATTCTGAACTATATACACATGGGGAGAGTATTTCATCTCTATTCATAAATAACCCCCTCCATTCTGTTTGATACTCACTTCCAAGTAAAGAGATAATTAGAGGTATCAATTAGTTCTTACTGTGTGTATATTGCCGCGCACTGCACCCCTGTGTCTGCACTCTGTGCGCTGGCACCCAGTTCGCAAGCTTCGGGCAAGGGGGCTGGAGGTTAAAATACACAGACACACAAAGACAGAGAGACAGCAACACGGGTCATTCTTGAATTCCCCAAGAATGCCCCTTTTATTGTGTTCAGGGGCAGATTATATAGAGATAGCCACACCCTAGCCAAACCCAGCAGAAACCACTCTCCTGCCATCAGGAACTGAAGGTCTCGTGCTCAGAGCAGCTGTAGGCACTCAGATCAGGGGATTACAAGAAATTCAGGATCTGGGGTCTCACTGCTCCCAACAGTATATGAACTTAAAATTTCTACTCCTAGATCCTAAAGCATGTGAGATATATAGGAAGGGAGAGATGGGGAGAAATCTGGTCAAGGGGGAGGCAAAGGACACAGGTACTCTCCCATTAAGATGTGTTGACAAAGACAACTCTGACCTCAAAGGGGATAAGACATAGTTTGATTGGCATTGGATCCATGACTTGGGAACACAGATTTAGGTTACCCCTAATTCCATGGCCACCATGGAAGCAATTTCATGAAGATTTTATAGTAATAGAACAGAGAAGCTCATAAATTAATTCATAGTAAACCACATTAAAAAAAAAAACAGCAACGAGGAGGGTGAGTCTCCTGTAGGCCCGAGACACTGCCTTAGCATCCTTAGCCCTTTGATTGATGGAAACTATGACTTTGTTAAGTTAATGTGTTCTAAGATGGTTTACCGATTAGTCACAGGACATGAGGTGACACAGAAATGGGCAAGGAACGGCTATTTGGAGGGCTAAAGATGGCTCAAGATAAATTGTGGTTAGGTTCTGTACCTCCAACATGACAAGCTCTCCACTGTCACTAACAGTCTAATCAGTTGATCAGCCTTGCTGAAGGTTCAGCTTGTAGATTTAGCTTCATTCTGGGTATTTGTTTTTCACAGGAAGCAGGAAAGGTTGAGGAGGGAGTGGTCATTGTCTTTTGTGTCATTTGTGCCACAGTGAGGCCCCATTTATACAAACAGTTGGTTTTGACTTTTCATTTCTCAATTAAAGTCTTGGGTTAAAATAACATTTCTTCCACAAAGCAGCGCTCAGCTTATCATAACACCTTCATGTCTAAAAGCCTGTTGACTGATGCTATTGATCTACACATTAATTTTCAACCAAGACAAGACCTTGGGATACTTAGATCTTACAGAGGACAATTCCTGTCCCCATTAAATAGCTTGCCATCTTACAGAACAAAGCCAAAAAGCCAAACATGACTGTGTAAGGTGACAGAACTCTTTTTTGTGCGAACACTCAGGAGCCTTGGCTAATTTTCATTCTTATAACACCGTGCATGGAAATATTTGAAACCATCTCTTCTGCAGATGAGGAAGTAGTTTTTTAAGTGAAGTAGAAAGCTCCGCTGAAAAATGTGTGGTAAAGGAAGGCTTCAACTGTAGCAGAGATAAGGGGGAGGTTACTTAATCCCACCCAACCCTCTGTTCCCCGCCACAAGACCCATGGATGTCTCTGATAAACCACCCAGCTGTTTCCTAACATGGGAACCCATTTCCATTTCCACTCTTTGGCAAGTCTGTCATCTTCACGATGACGAAACAGTTGTTTCTACTCCACTGCACTTGGCCTTTAGACAGTTTCCTTCCTCCGCTATCATGGCAGTAAAACAGTTTGCTCATGTAGACAGTTTTGGGGGGTGAGGTGCAGGAACTAAAAATTCGTCTTCTAGTGGCAAATTTCGGTGTTTTCTCTTCAATTATGTACCCCTGAAAGAAAGAAAAAAAAAGCAACAGTTCAGAAAGTAACACTTTTCTTTCCTAGTGCTCCTTCAGACCTGAATGCTGAGAGGGAGAGCACAGGCTGGTGCTCTCTGAGACCCGTATACTGACAGAGTATGAGAACATGGACTTTTGTAGGAACGACTCTCTTGTCTGTCCACTTTTGAGGCTCACCCAGGATCCACGCTCTTTCCCCTTGGGGAGTTTTATCCACACAACACTTTTGGAAATCTGAGACCTAAGAATTAACACTTCATCATCCCCAGCCTCTCTACTCACATTTAATATAATTGCTGAATCCTTGTTTCAATGCTGTGTGGCACAGGGACTTGTCAAGTGACGAGAGGGCCAGCACTGCCTGGCCTGAGCTGAAAACTGCAAGGGAATCCCAGTTGTCCTCCTTGTCTTTCCAGCAATTGCTGCAGCTGAAGAGCGCTAACTCCGAGTTTCAGCCCCTGTAACTTTCTCTTCTGTGCCTGTGGTATAGCCGGAAAATGTTGGACTTCTTAGCATGGAGCAGTAGCTCCTGGGAGATGCTGCGAAATCTTTAGCACATCCTAAAAATGGCTGATAATTTCTGCTACTGTGGTGTTTTCACCAAATGTGGCCTGAGTGTCTTAGGAGTAAGGAAGTAAAATATGAGGGCTGGGATTACAACCCCAGAATCCACATAAAAATCTGTGTGTTGTGGCAAACACTTTTTGTCCCAGCACTGGGAGACAGAGAGGACACTGCCAGAGATTGAAGGCCAGCACTTCTATCCAAGGATGTGTGTGAGCTCCCGCTTGGGAAAGATCCTGTCTCCGTAACATAGACAAAAGAAAAGAACAGAAGATATCATATGTCGAGCTCTGGCTTCCACAAGCACTTGTGTGAAGACTTACACGCACATAAACAAAAACACATGCACACACACACACACACACACACACACACGGAGTCAGGGAGTACTAATTTTAATGAATTCAATATTTTCCTCTGGGTTATGCAAATAGTCTTCAGTGGACTCCATATTCAATGTCATCCAGACGAACATTGTGCAGTTGGATAAAAAAATTAGTTAAATCAGAAAATAACTTTGAAAATGTCCACACACATATAAATATATAGCTATGTGTGTGTGTGAGTGTGTGTATGCATGTGTGTATATGTTTGTGTGTGTGTGTGTGTGTAGTCAACTCTGGCCACTCTAGGCGTTTGCTCTAAGCACTGCCTGAAACGCAGTGCACTGTGATCTTTTGGTATTGCAGTAGCAGAGCTGACAGAAAGGGATTTGATACCAAACACTGCTGGTTGTGGGAAGCAGCTCTATTGTAAGAGGCAATGGAACAAATTTAGAGAATTATTGGTAGACACTGAGCACCAGCATAGTCTAAAAAAGAAATAGAGTACATCGATTCATTTCTTAGGTTGATTAATGAAGGAAAAGTTAAGGAAACATCTGTTTGACTTTGTAATTGGTGTTAAGTTGGAAGAGAAATAAACATTTTCCATATTGTATCACCTGTATTGAGACAATCAATGCTGTTGTAACTATTATAACATTCCTTCACACTAAGCGCAGATTAACCCTTCATTAATAAATGCCTCAATTAACCGTGGTCGATTTCTTCATAAAACAGCCATGTATATATCCAGTCATTACAGGACCTGGTCTTTTAAACATTAGTGTGTGTCATCACAATTAAGGAGTCTGCCCATATGTGGAATTATATGCAAGATTCTCAGACGCTTTTATTTTTACCAGCTCTAGGTTGTACAACTGAAACTCAACAGAATGATCTCTGAATATCAGTGCAAAATACTACAAACATTTGATCTTTTTATATTTCTCTTTCACGTTTTCCTTCCCTTTCAGCGTCTGTAAAATTTAGTGTTTATTGCTCACTGTGCACCACTTCTTCGTTAGTATTTGAGAATTCACAAATACAGCTTGGCTTTTATTGGGAGGAGCCCAAAACAGTTTCAGTAAGACAAATGTGAGCATAAGGAATGAAACTGATCATCAGGTATTACCACAGAAGGGCTTTCTGAGCAACTGCAAAATGCCCCACATCTGTGTCAGCAATTTCTCAGGTTCCTTTATTTTTCAATATCTTCAATATTAGGAATCAGCTTTGGGGACCACCTCCCCCCCCCCTCTCTCCTTTCCTCCCTCCCTCTCACACATGCACACACATGCGCATACACACACACACACACACACACACAAAATTGAAATTTTGACAGTGTTGACTTAGGTGACTCCAAATAAAACCATAAGACCACAGTGAGATTCAGATACAATGAATTCAGCTCAGTCTCTCAACAGCCCGTAAGTCATCCTTCTGCCTCCAAACCCAAATCTCTGCCAATGAAGAATCTAAGTGATAACACCCATTGGTTTCTAGACCATGAGATCACTAGAAGAATTGAATCATCAGTAAAATTATAGTATAACTGGGCTTCTGCATAGTGATAACAACAAATACAACATTATTAAACAAGGGGAAGTCTCATGATAATATTCATTGGAAAATATTCAAATTATGTTTAAAATGTCAACTTAGTTTTATAAAACTTCCTAAAAGAAGTTTGGATTGGGAGTTATTTTTTGGTTAAGTCTACTAACTGGATTAATTTAACCCAAGAATTTCACACAAAAACAAGCTTTCATGATAAGAATTAGATGTTAACTTCAGTGGAGAGAAACAGCAGAATAGTACTAGTTTAGTAATGAAAACAAAGTGTAAAAAGACAAAGAAAGCTGTCTTTGAAAGGTAATTTGACATTGCTATTTAGAAAATAGATTTGAACATGACAAAGTTCCCTCTGGAGTAACAAGTGTGTCTCTCTTCTTTCCCAGGGCTTTGGGAATCCCTCTGGTGAATACTGGCTGGGGAATGAATTTATCTTTGCCATAACCAGTCAGAGGCAATACATGCTGAGGATTGAGCTGATGGACTGGGAAGGGAACCGAGCCTACTCACAGTACGACAGATTCCACATAGGAAATGAAAAGCAGAACTATAGGTAAGCTACGTGCAGAACGGCAACCAGCAGGCTTTGACCTTACCACCAAGGAGCTTTAATTAAAGAGCAGAAAATAATGTGCATGGTACCCGATAGTGAAAATTCAACTTATTTGTCTAGGCCTATGATGATGAAATACAGAAAACGTTGTAAGGGCTTTTCACAATCGTCAATGTTGGTCTTTTAAAAAAAAAATTGTTAATGTATTTTATATCCCACTGCAGTTTCCTCTCCCTATCTCTCTTCTGTCATCCACCTCCCCCTGCCCATCAATCCTCTCCTCTACTTAGAAAAAAAGCAGGCCTCCCATGAATATCAGTGAAATATGGCATATCTAGATGCAGTAAGACTAAGCACCTTGCCTTGTTTTAAGGCTGTGTAAGGCAACCCAGTATGAGGAACAGGTTTCAGGAAGCCAGCAGAAGAGCCAGAGACAGCCCCTGCTCCCACAAGAAGACAAAGCTACACAACTGTCACATCTATGCAGAGGCCCTAGGTCAGGTCTACGCAGGCTCCCTGGATGGTGGGTCAGTCTCTCTGAGCTCCGTTAGTTGATTCTGTGGGTATTCTTGTAATGTCCTTGACCCCTATGGCTCCTACAAACCTTTACTCCCTCTTTTCATCAGGCTTCCCTGAGCTGGGCCTAATGTTGGGCTGTGGGTCTCTGCATCTGTTTCCTGAGCTTCTGGATGAAGATTTTGATGACGATAGGGCTAGGCACCAATCTATGAGTATGGCACAAACTTGCTATGCATTATTACATTGACTTTTTTTCCCCCAGTCATGTTTGGTTCTATCCTAGGTCTGTGGGCAATCCAGCCTGTGGGTCCTGGTCCTCTGGTCAGTATGTGTGTATGTAGGGGGTGGCGGGGCTCCCTCTCAGGACATGGGTCTCATAGACTGACACTTTGGTGTTGCCTCCGTCTGAGAGAATAATGGATTAAATGACGCATTGTGACTCCACTATAATTGCTATGAATGTGTGGTCACTTCATGTATCTAAGAATGATACCAGAAAATTATGACTCAATGCCTTCTAATGATCCACTCTTTCTAACAAAAGATCTTAAGGTTTTATTTCCTTTACTCCTTTTAAATTTTGATTTTTCAAATCACTTTCGATGTAATGAGAGGAAACATATTTCTGAGTGATTCACATCAGAGGAGATAAAGCATTATCAACAGGATTTTTAAATAATATAAACCTTAAAAATCCAAATGATGAAGGATGTAATATGATGTGGAAATAGACAAACTAAACTATTAATTTCAATTGGTTCTGATTATTTTCTCAAAGAGCAGCTCATAGCTTCGGAAAAGTGGGAAATGTGGAGCTATAGAAAATTTATTCCAACATTGACTGTGTTACTGTCATGTCCTAAGATCCTGATTAGACACTGGCCTTTCCCAGTCAGTTTCTCAGGCCTCGTCTTCAGGCTCTGTGACTGACAGCTCCTAGAAGCCTGGTTAGCATTCCCTGAGACCTGGAGACTATTGTAGTGGGTGTCCTTTCATGACCTCGTGATACAATACTAATCACAGAATGTATCCTCAGTCACATGTGCCTTGATCTCATAACCGGTAAAGAGGAAGTGCAATGGCTTTTGAGTCTCAGTATTCCCCATCTGTCTTGCAAGCATAATAGTGAACATCAAATGGGTGACACATGACTGTGTGTAACTTATAGTGTTCCCAAACAAAGTCTTGTGGTTTTTTCACCCAGTGTGACTATGTCCTCAGAGATAACTATTTCTGATTCTTATTTGTCTTTTTCAGTAAGAGCCATCTTTGCGAGCTAACATCCGAATCTTTTTTTTTAATGGCACAACTCATTTCTTAGCATATGCTGTGTACGATTAGAGCTTTGGATATCTAATAATCATTTTTATAACAAATACTGATGATGTCACATAATAAAGGATGAGGAAGAGTTATAAAAAACAGAAGTCTCAGGATGGGAGCAAGGGTATACTTTA